GAGAGAGAGAGAGAGAGAGAGATGAACGAATGTTATTTTTTTTTAAACAGCTTTCCCTCACCTTGGCAGCGTTGATGACTGTTGCAGCATAGGACTGTGACCCATCGCCCGACATACCCCCACATGACTGGTGCACAGGCAGGAGCTGAAGGAGTAGACAAAAGGGGAAACATGACCATATGTGTGTATGGCATCATGGTGAAATCAGGAGCTCGATAAAATAATGAAATCAAAGAAACAGGAAGTTTTCTCTCCCTTGGGAAATTTTTATCAATATTGTTTCTTTTTCTTTTAACACCTTTTTCGTCCATTTAACAACATATTTCAGAGTGCGTTTTACTTTAAAATGTTGATCAAAGGCACACAATAATGTAAATTGTCAATTTCCAAGGACTCTAAAGCTTTGATGTTGTTGTTGTTATCGATCTAGCTCAAACTTTGAAAGTCACCACACTTTGGCAGCCATTTCCGCGTTAACTTTACTCTCTCTCTCTCTCACCCTGTTGTCTGCATAAGCCAGCCATCTATCGCCCAGAGCGATTGGGTTCACAGCCGGCCCAGGACACGGGTAGCAGCCTGGGGGAAAAGTTGATAAATATACATCATTTATACATAAATAAGCTCACTTGGAATGAGCTTGGAAGGATGGCCCAGGACAGAGATAAATGGAAGGAGCTTGTATGTGGTCTATACCCTGCCAGGGGTGAAAGGCATTGATGATGATACATAAATGGCTATATGCCATCTATAATTATCACTCAAACTATTCAGTCCAAACTTTCCGAAATAGTATCCATGTTCTGGTCCCAAAACATTCTTTTTTTCCCCCCTCTAATTAAACTTTCAATTTTCTTTCATTTAAGATATATGTTATACTTTGCTCAGCAAATAAGTAAATCAGAGGACAAACCTAAAACTACATACTATGAAGGTGCCTGCTGGTAGAAGACATTACTTCCAGGAGGGTAGAAAATTATGTAGTTAATGAGTGAGTTATACAGCACCCACCTGTGATCCAGTACAGCTGCCTCAAGCGACACGCGTCAAACACAGACAGCTTTTCCGGGAACACTACCACCACAAACCTGTAAGACAAGAATTTTGCTTTGTTTGTTTAATTAAAGAAAGAGAATAAAACGATAAGTGTTATTTGGAGCAGCAGAAAAAGTTTGGAAAGAGAAGCACAACCACTCCATAAATGTCATTTGGTTTAGATTTTAGTTTTAGCAAGGGTTTTACAACACCTGCCACACAAAAAGGTTATATAAGAGCAGAAGATTAGAGGTGTTTCTACTGAAGAGTAACTTACAAACAAAAGAAGTAGGAAAGACTGGGACAACAAATGTTTGATCAGAAAGAAGGAGCAGATCATACTATGGGACTCACGAATCACCTACAATAGTCATTTGGAGTAGGGGTAAAAATCAGACTGACAGATGGGACTCACGAATCACCTACAATAGTCATTTGGGGTAGGGGTAAAAATCAGACTGACAGACAGAAACAAGAGAGTTAAGAAAAGAAGTAGAATTTCCAAATGTTACTCCCAAACCACCCACATGATGGTCGGGACTGCGTCTTTACCTAACATGAAATAAGTGCTGAGGACTTTCCAGACCATTTTTGCTGAAACAGTATTTAAAATAGACTACTTTGTATTGTCTAGCTTTTAAGCACAGGACTAGAACCAGTATCTGTGATGGAGCAGTTAGGCACTTCGCTGTCGCACGCATGAGGCCCAAATGTAATTTCTGAGCTGGAAGAAATTTTTATTGAATATCTCAGTTTTTCTGCGGGGATATTGTATCCCAGTAAGCCTGAGTCAGCCCTGAAAGGCAATATCGGAAGCCTGCCTCCTAAATGAGCTAAACTATATCGAAGAGGATGTAAAAACGCAACACCTTCATCAAGAGAAAAAAAAACCCCTCCGATATTAGAGCATCCATGAAGCTAAGCCCAGTGACCATTAATAAACTGTTCACGAACCTCTTGTTGCTCTCAATCCCGTGCACCTGAAGTGTCTTGAATGATGTGTTGTGAACCTCGTCTCCTGTCTTCAGAGACACAAACTTCACACCACAGAACGGTGCCCCCGCACTGTGAAAGGGTTAAAAAGAAAAGTTCATTTATTTGATTCAACTGTCAAATCTGTACAACGGACAGAGAAGTGCTGCATGCTTTAAAAATAAAGAAAAAAACACAAATGTACATGAATACGTTAACCATGGCCTATTATCTTGCTTTATTCCTGAACTTTTCCCTACAGAAAACAAAAAAAATATACCTGGAGGAGTCACAGACACCGATGATGGGTCGTTTGTCCTTGAACTTGTCAGCCTCAGGGTCGGGTGTCGGCAGCACTCGCAGACAGGACACAGGGCCCTGGCGTACTGACAGAACCTCCTGCGCATCTCCGGTGTGCTGTGGGGGAGGGTGAGAAGAAAAAAAGAAAAGAAGAAAAACCCTTGTGAATTTTGAGTTTGAACAAACAGAAGAACAATGGCAAGAAAAAAACAATAAAAAAACAAATCTATGCGAGAAGCACATCGACACAATAAAGGTTATTTAGTGCAAAGAAAGAGTAGGACAGACAGACAGACAGAAACAACACAGGGATAGAAAAGAAGTAGAACCTATCAGTAAAGTCCTCCAACCAGGTGGAGATAAAAAAGGGGGGGAAAAGAAAAAAAGAAAAAAAATTCTAGAAAAGATTGTTTCATCTTCCATGTCAGTTGCTGCATCATGAACAAGACCCAAAACATTCATAATACACAGAAGAGGAGTGAAGGAAACACAACTCACTGTGATCAGCCAGATCTGTACCCCGTCGGCATAGCCCAGAATTGCCAGCAACGGCTGTGTCTTCACCTGGACACCTTGGAGGTTTGGATTACGCTGAAGATCTATGGACGACGGCGGAAATACGAAAAGACATATTATACAGTCTAGAATAAACATGAAAATCAGTAGGGCAAGGAAATCTATTTGTAAAGTATGAATTCTGCTATGTGCATATTTTAGATACAAAGAAGACACATGAAGCATAACAGTGAACATTTTTTAGACATTATCACTACCACACGAGAATGTGAAAACAAACACCGGGGGGCTCTCGTGGCCTAGAGGTTAAGGTGTTCTCCTCTCATTCTAAGGACCTGGGTTTGAATCCAGGTATCAACCGAAAAAATTTTCTTCTCAAATATTGTCTCCTTTCCCCTTCTTTCCTTCTTTCCACTTTCTTCCCACACCCCCTCACCTCTTTTGCCTCCTCTGGGCTCCTGACTCTTTCTGCAGCCTTTCTAC